GTTGACGATGCGAAGAGGACGAAGCTAGACCCCAAAAGCTTTAGGTGCATGTTCCTCGGATACGCAGAAAATGGCAAAGGTTACTGCGTGTATGACTTGGAGCGTTCCAAGATCATGGTGGCACGGTCGGTGAAGCTGGAGGAGCGTGAAGTGGACGGTATATACGACACGCAGTTGCCAGAACAAGGGACGGTCATTCATTTGACCAAGGGCAGTGATGATGCAGAGGTGCCACTTCTTGTGGAACGGCAGCCTGGCATGGACGAACCCATGGAAGCTGTCGAGGAGCCAGTCGCAGACGTCGAAATGGACGACGTTGAACATGTACCTAGCATTGATGTTCCGCAATTACCGCCACCAGAACGCTCGGCAACAACTGGACTGGAGTTAGCAGAGTACCGTTCCCCATCGCATGAGTTCCAGGAAGACCATTTGGTGTTTCATCCGGACGTAGAACGCTCGAGGCGTTCTCAAGAACCAGTGTTGCTACTGGAAGATGGTCTGGAAGCAGATGATGAGCCTGAAGGGAGTGACGGACCGCCGTCGCCGAAGCGTGCTCGGATCGATGAGGACAGTTTGATCGCCGAAGAAGTGCTGGCGTACGCTGCTAGTATCGATGGCGTTCCAGACACGACGAACTCGTATGCTGAAGCTGTCACGAGCAGTGAGGCAGCGGAATGGCGTCGTGCCATGAAAATGGAGCTGGAGTCGCATGCCTGGAACCGCACGTGGACACTCGTTCCACGAGGAATGGCTACCCGCCCAATTGGGTGTCGATGGGTGTTTGCCAAAAAGCGTGACGTGAACGGTCGAGTAATCCGTTACAAAGCACGCTTGGTAGCAAAAGGATTCAAGCAGAAGTTAGGGGTAGACTTCTTCGAGACGTACTCGCCTGTGGCAAACATGAACTCGATTCGGGTGGTGCTGGCGGTTTGCGTGGCAGCGGCTTACGTGATGGAACAATTGGACGCGGATACAGCGTTCCTGAACAGTGACTTGACGAATCGAGTCTACATGGACGTTCCATACGAGGTTGAGAACGCTCGCGAGTATGTATGTCTATTAAACAAGGCTATCTACGGTTTGAAGCAAGCGGCAAGCGCGTGGAACAAGACTATTCACTGTGCCTTCATGAGGAACGGGTTCAGGAGCTGAGGTGCGGACCAGTGTGTGTACGTTAAGTGTACCCGGAACGGTTTGGTATATGTGTGCCTGTACGTGGACGACATGATCATCGCGGCGAAGACGCATGCTGAGATTAAAAAGGTCAAGAACGCTCTGAAGAACGCTTTCAGGATGAAGGAACTCGGCGAGGCGAAGGTCATCCTGGGGATGGAGATTAACTATGACCGGACAGCCGAAACGCATATGATCAAGCAAACTCGGTACATTGACGACGTTGTGGAACGCTTTAACCAGCAGAACGCTAAAGCTGTGGAGAACCCGTGTG